TCAATTCTTGATCAAAATTAAGTCTATATATGTATGACAGACCAGTTTCATAAGTGTGGCAGAAGGAAACATTGTTTTTAAAACATTACACGATCAGTATATATGATCGCACCAACATTTTGAGCTGAAGAACTTTCCGTTGAGGTTCCGTTGAGAGCTTAATAGCAAGTGTGACGCATAGCATTTGATCTTCAAATGTGATAAATATCTTAGCGGTCATCTAAGGAATATGATCACTGATCTCCACACATTCGGTGTTTATACTGAGAATCAATTCTTGGTCAAAATTAGGTGTATATATATATGACAGACCAGTTTCATATGTGTGGCAGAAATGTATAAGATCATTTAAAGGTCATAAGTTAATTTTCGATTGATTTCCTTTCTGTATAAGATCATTTAAAGATCATAAGTTAAATTTCGATTGATTTCCTTTCTGGAAGTGTGACACTTCATTATAGGGAACATTATCAGCAGAGAAATGTACACAATACTCTAACAACAACATTTTAACAATTTCAGATGTTCTTATTAAAAATTAAAATAAACCTAAATAGGACTGATCCCTTTAAATTAAGACTAAAGGTGTTAAAACTTAATAAATATTTCGCCTAGAAACATATATTTTTAAACTAATGAACAATGAAATAATTTTTCAAATAATTCTTATGAAAAAAATAAAACTAAACTAGAGCTTTAAACCAAAAAACTAAACCATAATGAAAAACAAAAAACTATATTGTTTTCCCAGTATTTTCTTAGGAGATTTTCTTCTAGATTTTCCGCAAAAAAACATAATGAACAACCAAATAGCGTGTGGTTTTTTTTTTCAATTTCATTGGGTGTTCTTTAAACATAAATCATTTTAACATAGAATTTTTCTACCACACGTTCTTAATGTATTTAAAGCTAAAAAACATGAAAAAAAACAAGAAAATAGAATATTTAGCTTTCAAAACTTTAAAAACGTTGTTTTGGCATAATTTAAAGTGTGTTGAATAAACAGAAAAAAAAAGAAAATTATTTATTATAAATTTATATTTTGCACTCATTTAAGAAAAATTCTTTGGAAAAAAAAGAAAATCATATTTTACTTTATTTCTCTTTTTATAAATTAAACGTAAAGTTAATAAATTTTAAATAAAACAAGAAAATTGTTAGAAAATTATAGAAAAATATGTTAAAACTTTAATATTTATTAGATATGGCTTATATATGGTTAATTTATTTATGCTTTTAAATAGAGTAAAAGATAAATTAATTTTTTTTTATTTATTTATTTATGCTTTTAGTTTAAATGTTAATTGCTTGGTTAGTGTGTGTTTGTATATGGTGTGAAATCTTAAACCTCTTTAATAATAACAAGGTTTTTTTAAGTTTGTTGATTTAGTTTAATTAAATACTTAATTGTTTATAATAAATAGTAGGTAATGTTATATGAGAAGTTTTAATAAATAACTATAAAATAAATAGAAGGTGGTAAAGGCTTAAAAGCCTACATTTAGTAATATGAGTAAAGTGTTCGAGCATGAAAAATTGAAGAAAATTTTTATATAAACTAAAAATCTTTTAAACGGTAATAAATAAAACACTTAGAGTATTTAAGTTTTTTTAACATAAATCTAATTTGATTCTTTTTGAAATATGCCGACAAATTAAAAATATTACATTGCAATCTGAAAGAAATCCACTTGTTACTAAACATCGACTATTTTTATAATGCCCACTGAAAAATTGAATATATTCTAAAGATTAATGTAAGAAACTAGAAAAAAGTAATATTTAGTTTCTAGCAGGAATCGATGTATAAGGTGAATTAACGAAGTATCTCTAGCTAATGGAACGAGATACCAAAACAAGATATGAATGTTTATTAGAAAATCTTTTGACGATCAAAAACCAATACATATTTGGAAAGTCTAAACTTTTGATTAAGAGCTAAAATATTCTAAATTTTCTAGAATCGTGAGTTCAAACTTCTCCAGAAGCTAAGCCACTCAGCTTGATAACATAATAACACAGGTCGGCAAATTTTTAAGCCAGAGGTCAAAGTATACTTTTCTAAAGGATTGAGGCCCGCTGAATTCGAATCAGGCCTCAGAATTGCTCAATCATATCTGGGATTTGAGATATTGTGTCCTGAAATATAAAAAAAACGCCATTCTTTAGTCCTTTTTAAGACGTTATAACTACTCGAAGACAACTTTATTTATAAAATGTTGTATGCCATCTGAAAGTCCATTCTATCAACGTTAAAATAAAGTCTTAACATATGACATATCTTATTTTTTTCGAGATATCTTCACCTAAAGCTCGATATAACAATAAATTTACAAAAAACTATATTTCTTTTGAACATTTCATTTTTATTTTACAAAAAAAAACCTATGCATTCCACATTTTTTCCTACGAAAATACCTTTTGAATGGTTTAAAAATCTGCTGTAGTTGTTGAGATATCATCCGTTAAAGTTGGGGCATGGACAGACATAGTTAAGTCTTATCAGTAAGAGATTTTGATTTTGATTGGAACATCCTCAGATAGGCGTGGATCCAATATAAAAGGCGCACTTGTGGCTTTTACGCAGTCCGTCTATATATATGTCATTCTGCCCATATTTGTGTCTGTCTTTCTATCTGTGTTTCCATTTATGTATCTATCTCTCTGTCTATTTGTATGTCTGTCTGTCTGTCTGTCTGTCTGTCTGTCTGTCTGTCTGTCTGTCTGTCTGTCTGTCTGTTTGTCAGTCAGTCTGTTTTTCTGTCTGTCTGTATGTCTGTACGTCTGTGTGTCTGTATTTCTGTCTGTCTGTCTGTCAGTCTTTCAGTCTGTCAGTCTGTTTTTCTGTCTGTCTGTCAGTCTGTCTGTTTTTCTGTCTGTCTGTCAGTCTGTCTGTCTGTCTGTCTGTCTGTCTGTCTGTCTGTCTGTCTGTCTGTCTGTCTGTCTGTGCGTCTGTCTGTGTATCTGTCTTGAAATTTACTCTAAATTTATAGAAAATGCAAATAAAATACTTTTACTTATTAAATACTAAACGGAAAATTTTGGAACCATAACTATTGCTGAGTTAATCCACTTTCAAAATCTTAATAAAACAAAATCTAAATTATTTCAATATTCAAGTCAATAAACTTTTGTCTAAAAAACCCGAGTTCTTTTAACAAAAAAATATTTAAAAAGTAAAAGTTTTTTTCACTAAAACTTAAAAAGCTACATTTTATTACAATAAAAACTGACAGCCATTTAAAAATCTATTAATTTATTGCCGATGACAACTAAAACACAAATTTCAAAAAAAAAATTTAAAGTTTCTTAAACTTTAAACTAAACAAACTAAGGTGGGTTTACAAAGAAAACAAAGAACTTTTCAACATAAACATGAATGAGTTAACAATAAGTTGAAATTTTACTATAACTATAGTAAATAAGGTATTTTTTTGGTTTAATAGGTTACTAATACCACAAGCATTACGACCGTCTGTCCTTTTAGGTATTGTAATGTTTGATGCTAAAAAAATGGCCACACAGTTTCTAAGAGGAAACAAGTGTTAAGGTTTAATTTTTTGTATACTAATGTTTTTGTTTGACATTTCTATAGGTATAGGCCTTTTTTTGTGTTAGAACAGAAAATTTTAAAAAGATTTTCTTTGTTTTTCTGAAAAAAAAAGCAAACTGAACATAAAACCGTAACTATGTTTTTAAAAGGCTACAAATGTAGGTTAATAGCCTGTTTTTTACTTTTTTCTTCTTCTTCAACCACTAATGCCTCTTCTTTGTTGTTATTATACTAAACTACAATTGCAATATGAAACTAAAGATGATAATGATGATGATGATCATTGTCAACAATGATCATTTATTTCATTACAGGCATTAGACGTAACATTATAGAAAAACATAGAAGTTTTTGAAACTCAACTCATCAATGGTTTTAATAGCAAATAGCAACATTTACTATAGCAAAACTACTTTTTTTTGCTTTCATTCTTTTTTTTCATTTGTTGCTTTCTAGCTAATCTTATAGACATAAAGCCAATTATTAGCAAATGTTATGTTTAAAAAAAAAACTACAGATTCTTGGTAACATGTTTTTTTTTTTTCTCTGTTTTTGGTTAAACAAACTACATTCTTACATCATTGGCATTATTAGATTAATTCAGAATTCATTTTTAGTTTATGTTTGTTAATAATAAAGACTGAAATTGTTTTTGCTGTTTTATTTTAGATTTCAAATGAATGAGTGAATGAAAAAGTCAGACTTGCCAACATGCTATATGTATATATCTCTAAATAATAACAATTATAACATGTTGGGAATAAATGCAACTAACAGCAAGTTGATGATGATATTGTTGTTGATGATTCCTTAGAGATTGGTGTTGCAACTATTTTTTTTTTTCATTTTTTCAAGTAATGAAGGTGGCGATGGTGTTTGCTGTTAGTTATTCCATATTTAAAGCTGGTTTTATACAGTTATACTGTTTTTTTTTTTTTTTTTGTTAAAGTCAAGAATGAGGTCTTTAAGTTTATAAAGTCTCTCTTGCAATTTTATATTTTCTTCGAGCCGGCTGGCTTTTCTTTCAGCAAATTTTTTGTTATACTAATGTTATGCATAAATTATGTTTTTAGTTCAAAAGAAAAATGCCATCAAATAAAACTTTTTGCTAAGAAGTAAGAAAGTTCTTTTTTGGGTTTTTTTTTTGGTTTAATATTATAATTTTATTTGTCTTGCGTAATATTTAAAATTGCTGTTAATTATATATGAATTTAATTGTTTTATGTTCTAGCTACAATTAAGGCAGATTTTGTTTTGTTTTTTAATTGTTCTTTATTTAGCAAGTTTGTGGCTTAAGTCTTTTGTTTTGCCAGCTTTTTAGCAAATATCCTTTAACAAATTTTTGCTTATTTGTGCTAATTTTTGTTTATGTTAATTATAATTGAAAATTTTATTATTTTTTGGCAAAAGTTTTAATTATTTTTTTTTACTTTTCCTTTATTTGCAGATTAATAAATCTATTACCGTGCTTTAAAAGTAAGTTTCACTAGCAAACGCACAGCATATTTAGCAGTAAAATAAAAACCATTAGAATTCCATTAATATCAGTTATTTCAGTTTTGTGTAAAATACTAAACATTCAAAAGTCTGTCTGTCCATCAGTTTAAATATCCATCCATCCGTCCGTCCGTCCATCCATTAAAACATACATAGACATGATATTTCTATAATTTCAAGCGATTAATGATCGCACATAAAAATGATAATTTCTATGCAAAACCACACAAAGACCACAACAATAAATGAAGAAAAGACCCAATAACATGAATTTCTCTTCTTTGACTAATTGTATTTAATTAAACTTTCAAGCGTGTGTTTGCACAAATACCACAGAAAACATTTTAACAATAATAATGAAAATGTTAATAATAAAGAAATTAAGAATAAGAAATTTTACAAAGTGACATTGGGGACATAATCTAGAAAACACACAAAATAAAAACTAGAATATATATTTTTTAACAATTTAAACTGGCAGCAAGTCAAGCACGCAAGCCTCAAGGTAAACTGCGTTATAGAAAATTTTGTATACCAAACCAAAAAATAAGAAAGAAATGTAATATAAAGAAAACAAAAGAATAAAAAAAAGAAAGTGTCAAATCATGTAAAACCCTAGACATAATAATAACAAAACAACTAAATTACTTTCTTAAAAAAAAAAAAATTCTAGTTCTAAACCTGATCATTAAACATAACTTTTAAATGGCAACAGAAATAATTGTTATTAAAACCTGAAAAAAAACAAGAACATTTAACTACAATTTAAAAAGCGTGACAAAGTATAACACTAGCTATAAACAAAAAAATGATTCTAAAAGGGAAACTTTTTTCCAAAACACAAAAAAAAAACAAAAGACTTAAGACAAAAACTTGCTACAAAATTTTTTTTTTTGGTTTAGTTTATTTTTACTCTTTGTCTATAAGTAAAAATTGAAAGTAATTCTTTTACTACTTTAAAGAAAATTTATTTTAAATATGTATGTTATTTTTTAAATGCTAATTGATTTATGATTATATAGCCATCATCATCATGATCATTATCATTATACATAATATTACAAGCATTTACAGACAGACAGACAGACAGACATACAGAGTCTTAACAATATAATAATTTACTTTCACATGCTTCAGAAACCATGTAATCTTTTACATTTCAGTTTATTATTTTCTATTTAAATGTCAATCGTTTAAGTTGTTAACAAAATGTTTCTAAAACTTCTCATAAAGACTTTGTTTCACTTCGAGATTTTTGTTTAAAATTTTACTTTAAATTAGAGGGGTTTCCTAAGTGGCAGCCTTTCTTCTAATCACCTTCAAGATTAATGACCTCGATCAATCCATTTCTTTGTTAAAAGTGTAAAACAGATTTGTAAATGCCTGTGTGTGTGGCCATATTCAAATTGTTAAGATTCACTACGAAATAAATTACCAACTACTGGAAATATTCATTAGAAAATGAATAGTTATTTTAAATAAACCATTAGTTAATTACAGTTTAAATAAATTTATTTTAATCATTACCAAAGTAATTGAATTTCTTTTTTCTCCAACCAACTACTACCCAAAAAATCTAGTTAATTAATGTCTGTTTTAATTAAAAGAAAAATAATTTTGTTAAACAAACATATTCCCACAAGTTGGTGGCACACCACAGGAGTGCTAGAAGAAAAATTCATAGAACTTCTTATTAACTGTGAGTTCAAATGCAAGAATCTTGTTTTTAGAAGATTTTTTTTAAAGAAATTTATTTTATAACAGTAACCATCTAGTAGCCGAAATTTGTTTAATTTATGTTGTTTAGAAAATAGCAATAGTTCTTAAATAACTACAAGAGTTCAAAGAGATTAAAGGAAATATTTTTAGGCTTTTCCTCCCAACTTCCTTTACTCAAGTCTTAAACGATAACCATTCATCTTACAAGGTTTACAACATTTTGAACCAAAAACTGTTCTACCGGAATGAACATTATTCGGTCTCTCATATGTTAAACTCAGTATATTTCCATGTTAAACTCAGTATATTTCCGAAAAATTTTTCTTAATTCCCTTAGAATTAAAGAAGTGAAGAAGTAACCTAGAATACACACTTAAAAGCTCGTCTTTTGAAAGAAATCTGCCTTGATAACTTATCATATTTCAAACTTTAAAAAAGTATATTAGCAAAAAGCTTTTCAAGAACAAAACCTTCCACATAAGGCTCTTAAAACCCCATGGTTTTCAAAAAAGCTCCTTTTTATAATAAGTATATATATTCATTAATTTCTTTAAATCAAAAGCTTTTTCTAGCACTTACCTATCGAAAAAGTTTAGTTTAACAAAAATAACTAACATTAATTGGTTTTAAAGTTTTTCTCAAGCTCTCTACAGCCAAAAAGCTTTTCAACACATCAAGTCATTAGTCATCAATAATACACACTTAAAAGCTCGTATTTTTAAAGAAATCTATCCTGATAACTTATCATATTTCAAAAGGCAAAATGCTTTTTAAAAAGGCATATTTGTAGAAAGCTTTTCAAGACAAACCTTCCATATAAGGCACTTAAAATACCATTGTTTTTAAAAAAGCTCTTTTTTATAATAAGTATATGTTTTCATTAATTTCTTTAAATCAAAAGCTTTGTCTATCACTTACCTATTGAAAAAGTTTAGTTTAACAAAAATAGTTAACATTAATTGGTTTTAAAGCTCTCTAAAGCAAAACAGCTTTTCACTACAAAAAGTTTCACTTAAAAAATAGCTTTTCGTAATCAATAATACACTTAAAAGCTCGTATTTTTAAAGAAACCTGATTTCAAAAGGCAAAATGTCCTTTAAAAAGGCATATTTGTAGAAAGCTTTTCTAATAAAAATCCTCCACATAAGGCACTTAAAACTCCACGGTTTTCAAAAAAGCCCTTTTTTATAAAAAGTATGTTTTTATTAATTTCTCTAAAACAAAAGTTTAGTCTTTATTTTAACTATCGAAAAAGTTTATTTTAATAATAATAGTAAACTTTAATTGGCTTTCTAAGCTCTCTACAGCCAACGAGCTTTTCAATACAAAAAGTTTAATTTAACAAATAGCTTTTAGTAATCAAGAATACACACTTAATCAATTACAAAAAATATATATTTCCAAAGAGTTTTTATAGAAAAAGTTTTCTATGAAGCTTTAAGCTATAGGTTTTCACAAAAGTTTTTTAGTTTTTAAATCACAAAGAGAAAATTTTACATATAACTTTGTCCATAAAAAGTTGTTTAAATTCAAAAAAATCCAAGAAAAAGTAAACGAATAATATTATCTATCTAAAAAGCTTAAATTATTCAAAAAAGGGTTTAAATTATATATAGGGAATTAAGAATTACATAAACAACTTTTTGCATAAAAGTTCTACCTAAAAAAAGTTTAAAAAGCTATTTTATTATAAAAGAAAACAATAAAGAAATTTTCATAAAAACCCTTTTTTAATAAAAATTGTTCAAAACCAGGAAATAATTTTTTTTTTAACAAAAAAAACGGTTTCTAACTGAAAGCTTTAGGTAGAAAAAGCTTTTAATATAAATATTTGGTATTTCAAGCGAGAGTTGAAGAATTGATTGTATTGAACTGGTCATACGACTAGTGAACTTTATCTGTTTAACCCCGAAGATATCGGGGGTCTTCAGAAAATTGATTTCAACAGACGGACATGACTTAATCGACTCCGATATCCATAAGGATCTAGAATATATGTATATACTTTATAGGGTCGAAAAATTATATTGTAATAATTACAAACGAAATGAAAAAATTATATATTTGTCAATTTAATATCAACAATTTAATATTAAAAACGACAACAAGTTCCTTTAGTCTAGATAGTTGGTATTTATATAAAATTTTGAATCTAAGGAAGATCCATATTCCAAAGGAATAGACATGTCATTAGTTTTAAAGCTTTGAAGTTAATTAAGTGTCCAGTTTTCGCAAAAAAAAACATAATTAAAGAAAACTGTTTGTTTTCTCAGTTAGTGATCAGGTTTACCTTTTACTTTTTGGCAATTGCAACTATTTTAAACGGTTAAACTAAATAAAAAATTTTGAAAAGAAAATTTTGCAATTCAAAACACACAATTTAAAGCATTTAGAGTTTTGCCTAAATGAGGCTGACAACATTTCCATTGAAAACTTGTTTGTCTACATAAATTAAGTAACCGCTTTTAAAGGAAAATTATAATAATCAGTGGTCATAAAAAAATTCAAAAAGAAATTGAAAAAACGCCAGTTAACTAAAATGGCAAAAATTGTACGAGTGCTAATTTATCACACAAAATAGACACACGTAGCACCACCGCCGCCGCCATAAGAGTCAATGTCAAGTTAAACACCATCATCAGCAAAAAGCTTTTGTTGCAAGTTGAAAATTTTGAAAATCATTAAGCTCACTTGTAAGTAGAAAGAGAAAGAGAGATAAAAATTTTGAATATAATGTAATGTTTAGACTATAGGTGGTAAACAATTAACCCTTTTTAAACTATTTGCTTATAACTGCCACATATTATTATATAAGTAAAAAATAGTTTAGTTGTTCTAAATAATTTGTTTGCTTTTGTTTAAAGCTTAACTTAAGCTCAAAGTTCAAATCATTGTTATTTTAAGTTATGAGGTATTTACCACTTAGAGGGTTAAATTTGTTTTATGGTCAACAGGGTAATATGAACGAAACACCTTTAAATAACCCATGTTTATGGCCAATACACTTGCATATATTTCTCTATTTATTATTATACTATTTTTCTTCTTCTTCCTCCATACGTATAAAGCTATTTTTTAAGGCCATTTGAAAAATGTTAGAAGAAAAAAAACACAGCATAACTCGTATTCAAAGTTGACTGTTGCTTGTTTGGTATGTGTGGATGTGTTGGGTATCTGTAGTTTTGCGCTTAACACCGCTAGACTTACGAATGTTACGGTATATAGAGTTGGTGGTTTTGTGCAATGATGACCTGCTTTAA